GCCCATGTTTGAAGGCATCAGTGAAGAAGACCACCTCACCGTCTTGATTTCTCAACTACTCTAACGGCCCGGGGATCCGCATCACCATCGAATCTGGGATGTGGTACTCTACCCTAATTTTCACCAATTCAATTTCATTTAAAGCGTTCGGCTCTAAGAAGTCTACGTCGAACACCAGGCCTTTTGGCTTCGCCATCGGCACCCTTCGTCGGCCAGTAACCACAGTCAGCACACCCTCCCTGGGATCGACAACTGAAGCATCAGCCTCGGTCGCCCCGACTCGACGACCAGATGGCGATGGCTGAGAGTTATTAACCTCAACCACCTCGACATTCGAAGTGCTTCCTGAATCTGTAGACACCTCTGCACCTCTTACCCCCCCTCGGCTCCTTCAGAATCGGCACTACCAAGCCCTGCAGTCGAGCTTTCTGATACCGATTTTCCCTCAAATGCTCTTGGGCTATCACTATAGTCTGATTCGGTCTCTGACATCTACAAACAACAGCGAAAAAACACTAAACGCCATGCAAAGATCAAACTCCTATCCTACAGCCCAAGAGCTTATACTCATCTACGTTCATCCATGTTCATGCATGTTCATACAACATTTGAAGAATTTGATTCAAGTAAAATGAAAACATGGCAACTTACCTTGATAACACGGTGGTTCGAACACGCCGGAAATCTCTTTTACCACTGCAGTGCACTCACCAGTAATCGTCTCTCACAAGCTCGTTTGCTCTCAAATTCTCAAGTACCCTTCCCACCGTCTCTTCGGCCCATTTATAAGACTAACTTAGCATCAGGAAACGAAACGACGCATCAGGAAATGAAGCGACGTGACGGCTCACAGCCCTCTCGACACGTGTCACACATGCACAAGGAAGCCCAAGCGTCATTGCTTCCCACTTGGCAGGCGCACTGTGGTTGAGTTCTCACTTACCTCTCGTGCCGAACGATAGACGCACTATGGTTGAGTTCTCACTCACCTTAGGTGCCGAACAGCAGGTGCACCGTGGTTGAGTTCTCACTCACCTCTCGTACCAAACGGCAAGCACATCGTGGTTGAGTTCTCATTCACCTCTCGTGCCGAACGGCAGACGCAAAGTGGTTGAGTTCTCACTCAACTTTCATACCAACCGGTTCGGCTCCTGCTGCCGTTCACTTCCACTTTTCAACCTCCTCTTGGATTGGGGACTTGGGGAACTACATGATCACCACCATCGGCATACGACAGAGGATGCTCATACCCGAGTTAGAATGCCAGAGCTCAAGGACATAAGCAAGCCCCCAACCAAGAAGTTCATTCTCGATCGGAAACTTAGGGGACTCTTGTATGTACCATATCTGACCCGTCACTCATGTCATAACACATGGAAAGTAAACGAGGCTGAGACCAGCTCAGTGAGCCATGTCGAAAGGTCAATCGGCATACTCCACCGATTCATACGTGGTCGTCAAGTCGGTAAGTGACATCGACCGACTCACCCACACCAACCTTTGGCACGCGATGCCGAGCGACCAGTCAGCACATCCGGTCGATTCTGACAGATAACCTCGGAACTCCCGCCAGAACCTGTTAGGGCACGTGTCGACCGTCGAAGACACTCCCATAAGTCTCACATCGAAACTAAGTACTAAGAGCATCACAAATGCTCTCTATAAATAGAGCCCCTTGGCCCAGCCAAAAGGTAAGACTGTTTACTTGACTTGTGCTTTCACACTGTCAATAAAAATTGCTCTTAGTCACTAACTTTGGCGTCGAAGGGTCTTCGGCCGGTGCCACACCGGTGTCTTAGGCTTCACCTGCCGTTTCTTTCTCCAGACCGAATCTAGCATTGCAT